GTTGAGTGTCTGTCGCTACGCCTAGTTGGCAATTATGCTCAACTAGAGACTTAAGATGGGGCAGAACAGACCTCTTATGAGGCGACTCTAACTGGGCACGTTGCTTTATTTATAGTCACAAGATATTGAAGTTTTCAGATTTTTCTAGCTGATCTGAAATGGATCTAAGATAACCATAACAAACATTCTATATAAAACCAATATACCGTTTTCAATGGTTAAAAGTTAAAATTAAATTGCAATTTCTGCGTAAGAACTTAAAGCCTCTGCATGCAGTTTAATCAAGGCACGTTTTGCTGGAAAAACAATGCCAAAACGCATTTTGGCATAATTAAAAATATAATTTATGAATTCATTTGTGAACTGTGAAATGCTCATAAATTGAAAGCTTTTAGGACAACAAGACGTTGACCAGTCGCCGCTGCCAAACTGTTGCGCTTGCAGTTCATTTCGACTGTTGATTTTATTAAAATATTTGCCCATGTTTATTGGGCAACAAAAGCAACAAAAGCAACAACAACAACGCACTTAATTACAACTGCATTATAACATTACAATGGTTATTATTACATTAACCAAACCAAACCAAACTGAGCGCCGACTCTGGGCCACGCGTTTATAAAATATGGCTTGGTTGGCGCTTTTAATATTCCCCACAAAAAAAAAAAAAAAACAACTGGAGGCAGAGGTTCGGGAATTTCAAATATAAATTAACATTTTATGGGCATATGCGATAAATTTTATGTTTTGCCCAGAAGAAATGCGTAACGAGACGCGGCACAAAACTCTTTTAACGATGTGCACAATTAATAGAGATGATCGCATTTATTACATTTATATATGCATTTAATTACCAGTCAAGGTTAATGTGCATTGCAATATAAATTAAATCCTTTAAATATTAAAACATGGCCGTAAAAACCACAAAAAAAAACATTTTAATGAAAAATTGTCGGTGCTGAATGTGCTCTTCTTCTTGTCAAATCTCGAAGGTTCAAATCCAGTAGAATATTTGCAATATTAAATATTTGTTAATTCTTTATAGATTTGCATAGTTGTTATTTCTGTTGTCTCTGACGCATTACACTTATGTCTAACTGATAAGCCCGTCAACTATAGCTAATGGAATCAGCTGTCTATTCATTCGACTTCATAGCTGCCAAGACTCGTCAGTTCAAGCTAGCTCTCATAAACTGTATCGAACCGTGCATTAGCCGCCTTTGGCAATTCATTAAAAATGTAATTTCATGTGGTACGCATGACATTCAATGTGTGCTGGCATTGTTCGATACGTATACGCACCGTTTGCCTGGCACACAGGTTGAATGCGCTTTGTTATTTAGTCGAGCCTTTAGGCCATTTTCTGTCACACACACATCAGTTGATTTCTACAGCTAGTTCATTGTGTGCTCATCATTATTAATTTCCAAGCTATAAATTTCACTTTGGCCACATTCCTAACGGCCAATTCCACCGCAAGCCTCATCCCCGTTCAATACGCAAAGATTCACCTTTTTGCACGCTCGAATAGCTTAGTGTTTTTTTTTTTGTTTTTTTAGTATTTCATTTTTTGTGTGGCATGTTTTTGTATACTCTGCCAGGGGATACTAAGTATAACTTGCTCAACAAGACTGTGCTGTGCATAGCAGGTTGATTTTCCAACGTCTCGAATATGTGTTTCTAATCTGAATCAATGTGAAGTCTATATAGCCGATCTAGGAGGATATTGCGATCCGATTGGATCTTTGTATCAAAATATAAACACATAATTCGATTACTTTCAATATTGCGTAGCTAAGTATACATTCAATTACTTAAATTTGCTTTATTTTTCTGAAAGAGTGTCGGGTCTACGGCTTTTAAATATTTTCTTTCTGTTTTCTGACCGATCCGACGAGTCCGCCCTTCAGTCGCCGTGCTGCATCTTTTGTTTATGCCACACAATGGCGCTGGCGCAGGTTTTTAGTGCCTGCCATTGTGTTTTCTCGCTCACACTCCAGCTACAGCTGAGGCCATAAAATGCAATGGAATTTCATATAGCGCCATTCTATATGTTGGCACTTATGTATATGTACCATATGTATACCATATACCGGGGCATTATGTTTTGTATAATGTGCTCAAACATTTTGCGTTGCGGCACGTAAAAAATGCAAGCCAAAAACTTTGCAGCCACAATCGGGGAGTGTGTGTGTGTGTAACAATGAGGTGTGTGTCAGTGCATTTGATGTTTAATCAATTGTAAATGGCACTGTGCACATGTGTGTGTGTCAAGTCAATTGTTTGGCCTGAGCATTGAGGGAAAGCCTCAGATGCTGCTGCTGCTGCTGCTGCTGTGTCTCCTCTTGGCCCAACTTGACTTCCGCATTTGGCGACTGTTTGCCCAGCACAAACTGCAGCCTATAGTGCGGCAATCTTAAGATGCTTAGGATGAAACATTATCCGGATTCCAATGTGCGTGTGCGGCTTTGACTTTGTCGGCATGGCCTTAGCTCAGCCTGCCGCTGCTGCCTGCCTGTCTGCCTGCCCCAAACTCTATTCAATGCGAATCTATCGTTCGGCTTGACTCAACTCGGCTTTGGCTCTTGTTGCTTGTGGCATGAAAGAGGAATAAAAATTACAATATTGACGCTGCACCACATGCACGCACATGAGAGAGGCAGACAGTGAGAGTGAGAGGGAGCACAAGAGGAAGGAAGCCCGCTGAAGCGCGAAGCTCTTTGCCACAAGCTGCCGCCTGGGTGCTATTGTAGAGGAGCTTTGTGTGTGGATGTGTGTGTGTGTGTGTGTGTATTCATGTGTGCGTTGCTATTGTATTGAAACTTCCTTTAATGGCTTCCGGTTATCATTTTTGGCGCAACTCGCTCGCTCGCAATTGCTATCTCAGTTCGACGCACACCGCAGCTCTCCCTCTTTGCATGGCGTGTCAATAAAGATTAAGCGCATTGTTCTTGGCTGATGCCTTTCGTCATGCAAAGAAATTAATATTCGCAATCCATTACGTCTCTAATAACACACCATATACAAATACAAACGCACACGCAGACGTACACACACACACACACACACATGCACTTAAACGAAAGGCCAGTTTTTAATAAACTTAATGGGCAGCTTTAAGCCTTAAAGGCGCCAGCCAGCGTGCTCCTTGACCGCTATCTAACTGGTCCGCACACATACAGAAATACGGACAAACACACACACGCACACATATTCACTCATACATATGCACACGCACAATCAATCAATTTAGCGCTTTAAGCTTTTGACAAATACCCGCAGACGGCGAAGGCAACAGCCACACAATCTTTTAAAGAGTCGCCAGCAACAACAACAACACACACACACACACACACACACACACACACACACACACATACATACACACATACACACACCAACACACACAGACGCACACAACCAGCACACACAGACACACACACATTGATAGATAAGCCCGCTCCTTTGTTGGAATGATACACGATGCCCTCGACTATGCCCGTCGCCAGCTAATGATGACAAATTTTTTATGGGCGTTATGAGCAAAACATTGCGCTTGCCCCAAAGTGCATGGGCTGGTCAGAACATGGAGTTCCAGCACAGAGCACAAAGCGCAGATAACAGAGCACAGAGCACAGCAGCCAACTGGCAGGGCTGTGCCCGCGGGCTCTTTATTAATTTGACAGCATCAACAGGAGCTGCCTTCACTCGACTGGACTCGGCACGCTAATGATTGAAATGAACTCCGTGTCATGTCTGGTCTTAGGCAGAGAAGCCAGCGTCCAATGTGTAACGCCTCCCTTTCAGCCAAGCAGCTTGATTGATGGTTATCACTCATTGCTGGGCTGGACGCACTGCATTGCCACACTCCGCCGCTCCACGCAGCCGCCTCGATACACTGTCGAGCAGTTGACATCGCCTGCGGATTAAATGCTGTAGGTGTGTCATAACTTTTTGTGACATTGTGCCGTTGTTCTTGCCTGCCCGGCTGCCAACTGCGTCCATCATTTATTGTATTGCTCTTTTGTTGCGCTAAAAATGGTTGCCTGTCCACTTGTCATGCCACCCCCCCCCCCCTTTGCAGGCTGGCTGGAGCGGAAATGCCACCCGTTCGGCCAGCTCGGCAGCCGTTAAGTATACAAAAGTAAAAAATCAAATCCAAAAGTCCAAACTTTACTGGGCAATCGCTCATGTTTAAAAGCAAATAAGGCCAATTAATAAATGCAAATACAGCTAAAATAACAGTAAATGCGATTAGCGTGTGTAAGCGACGCACAGATACCCTGTAAGTTAACTTTTAACGTGGTTACAACAAGAACTTCACTTTATTTTTGCTTTTTGAATATTTTCCTCAATATCAAACCATCGAAATTTTATAATTAATTTTAAAAATCTTCAAAAAATATAAACAAATTAAAAAATACTTACTCATTATTTTAAATCTATAAATTATTATTCCCAGTGTCCTAACTACAGTCTATGCTTGTAAATAACTCCTAAATAATATGTATATAATATATTATTATATATTTATATATTTGCGAACTTATGTTCTGCCTGCACTCAATGAAAGGATTACTATATTTGAAAGAAATTCGCAATATTAGGATATTTCTTTTAATTCGAGATGCTTTTATTTTTTAGAATATATCTTCTTTGGTTACCAACCTGTACCCCGGTTACAGTCTTCATTTATTTATTGAAGGTCGGTATATATATACATATATATATATATATATCTTTTAATACCAATATATACCCAGTTGCCAAATAGAAAAGTAAAGAGACCCAATCGGTGGTAGGTGGTAGAGTACAGAACGGGGTAGAACTATCTCCTCTAGTATTCAGAAAGTCATACCAGAATTTGAAGATCTACTAGTGTGGTATATTTGCTATTGTTATTTACCGTACAAAGTCATATATCTAAACATATGGAAGATAGTAATACACTTGATATTCATTAATCTTATTTTACAAGCATTATACACACACTGACTGTTATCTGAAAAATTTGTCAAACCAAAATTGTTATATTTATTTTTTCATGAAATAGTGTAGCGGTAAATTAAGTGCACTGCCTAACTAGAAGCAAGTCCTGGGAAGTATCTAGTCCAGACAGAGGTGTATGACGAATTGAATTCAGCACGTGCTTAAATTATATGTAAATAACACAATGTTGGAAGTGGACAAAATGTTGGAAAAATGCGGCGATTTCCATCGGCAGCAGCTAATCATGCTGCTACTCTCTTCTCTGATCAGTTTACTATCGTCCCTGCATTCCCTATCATACTCAATTACAAATACTGTGCCAAAGCATTGGTATGTAACAGAGCCCTGCATTGACTGAATCGATTCCCGTTTTGGATACCCGACTCAAATTTGGTGAATCCAGACTTTTTCTAATTTGCTTAGCTTAATAGTCGAAGGATCAAGTTTGTCGATTGAGTATCCGAAGCAGGGCTCTACTATTTATGAGAATATTAATAAGAAGCATGGCGTATACTTAACGTCTGTTCATAACACCCAGGTGTGCTGATGGGCTGGGCTCGGGGCCTCCACCACCAAATGCAGACGAATGCAAGCCATTCTATACTAACTCAAGCACCTCTGGCACCTGCAAAAAGTACAACTATGAGCATTACATGGGCTTTCAGAGTTTTGTCAGTGAAATGAACTGGATATGCGATGAAAAGTCGAAACTTAGCGTGGGAAGCTCGGTGTTTTTTGCGGGCTGCGTGATAGGCAATCTAGTTATGGGTTATTTTGCAGATAGACTGGGTCGGGTGCCCATGCTTGTTTTTGCCAATGTCATGACCATATTGAGCAACTTTTTGACAATCTTTGGCATGAGTCTGGAACTTTTTTGTATATATCGATTTGTTATTGGTCTAGTCTTCAACAGCAACTTTTCGATTATTCGCATTCTTCGTGAGCAAAATAATTCCAGCGTTAGAGAATCTTTAATTAATCGACAAACATCTCGCAGTTGTGGAATATATGCGTCCTTCTTTGCGCACCGTTTGCGTGAACATCTGTTACGGTTTATTTTTATGTCTGGGCATGATAATTTCACCTTGGATAGCGATCCTCACAGGTAGTTGGCGCCGTTTCATGCTTCTCGAAGCGCTGCCAATAATTGTGGTGCCGTTTTTCTTTTATTTTGTGCCGGAGAGCGTACAATGGCTGATCTCAAGGCAGAAATATGACGAGGCTATAGAATCCCTGAGACGTGTGGCCAAGACTAATGGCCGCCAAATTGATGACAGCGTATATGAGGAATTCATTGAGGACTGCAAATTAAGTCAGCAAAATACGAAGACCAATCCAAATCTGCTGCACCTCTTCGGGATGCCGCGCCTACGCCGGACCTTGTTAATATTGTTGTTTGAATAGTGAGTAGACATCTCATTGAATGAACTTTCTAATGTACATCACTCTCTTTCTATGCCCTCATACGCTCACCTACATAGCTTCGTATTTTCTTTCTACAAAAGTATCGTCACTTATCGTTTGAGCGGGGTTGAGATTTCGCCTTTTGTACTTATCTCACTGTCTGTAACTGCCTTATTGCCTTCCAGCTTGACAGCAATTGTCCTGCAAGATCGTATCGGACGCAAGACGTTGGCTTTTACAATTGTACTCATCAAGTGCATTTCCGTCTTGGTAGAGGGCGTCGTCTTCTTACACTATGCTAATCGCTGTAAGTCCAGTATATTTTGTTGAATTTACTTAACAGTTTTCAATAGTTGCTTTCAGGCACGATGCATGAGCCAGTTTGTTTTATTCATACTAATTACCATTTCGTCTTTATGTTAACGGCCACATGTCGATAGGACATCCGTGTACGATGCCATAACATGTGCTTGTTTAAATACAGCAGCTTATTTCTAATATAGCACGTGCTTAAAACTTCGTCTTAATACAATAGTACAAATATAACTTGCCCCGTTTATAAGCTATCGATAAAGTTATCGAAAAAGACACCAATTGAACTTGTCACCAATTAAAGCCACAATTTTTATGCACTTCTTAGTTTGAGAATACAAGAATATTCTTTTGGCTGCCCACGCACAAATTGCAAGAATTTCTGTATACATCTGCAAACACACATTCACGCGGGTCTATTTTGAATTCTGTCAACAACATTGCAATTGCGATTATATATATATTATATATGATTGTATATGCTATTCTAATTCGTTTTTTAGTTTCGCTCACAATACTTGCCTACAATCAAAACTATGCCGACATTCTGTATTCTCGCCCACAGCCCCCAAAACGCAGCTTACGTTTTATGTTATTGCGGCTTTTTTTAGCTACCTTTCCTTCGACTCAAATATACAGTACGCATTAGAGGTGATTCCAACATGTGTGCGTGGTCAGGCATTGGGGTCTCTCTATGCCATAAGCTTCGCGAGCGTAGTATGTGAAAATTGCGTTTTGAACATGCGTAAAATCTTCTTCCCGCTGCCGGAAATCATTCTAGGCGTGCTCACATTGCTGCTTGCCGGATTGATCCTGCTGCTGCCGGAGACACTGGATCGCACGCTACCCAGTTCACTGGAGGATGGCGAGCAGCTTGGCATTGACGAGCATTGGTACACATTTAGGTGTATGCAGAAGCACAAGCAGCCGGTAAATAGACTCGCTCCGGCAGTTGCTTTCCATACCAACTAATTTTCCCTCTTTTAGGAAGAGCTGGATAGCTCGTTGGCACCGCGAAATGGAATATAAGAAGGTAGGGTATTTTTATTATATTCACATTTTAAATATCAATGTTCCACCCATTTTTCCCCCGTGGAAAATTCAAACATAATTTAACCATTACCATTACAAATTTGACTGTTGTGTAAGTTAATGCTAACGAGAAAGAAAGGCTATCTTCGGCACGACGAAGACCGCACTTTTACCTGTGAACCCATTGAAAATGGGTAAAGAGGGTATAATGTATTGTTTTCTGTGCTGCTATTTTAATTCGTTTTTTTCACATTAAGAATTAATAATTGTTGTGGCTGTTGAGTAGTTCCCTGCCAAGGGAAGTTTTTTTGTTATTAATTTATTGCATTTAGTGTTGAAGTAAAAGGGTTCAGGGTATCTCCTAGTCAGGAGCTTCCGACTAGAACGTCTTACTTGTTTTAATGTTCTATTTTTGCTGCTTGCGCATAACTTGTTTATGTCCCAATCTATAAGCACATTATTTGAATTATTTATTTATCCATATATTCAAACTTACAGCTGGAACATTTAACTCAATCATATCCAGAGAAGGCAGCCAAAATTTGCATAGTTGTCGAGCAATTAATAGATTTCAGGCATTTATTTCTATTGCTATTTTTATATATCGCATTTGCCGCATGCCCCGTGCGGATTCCATTGAACAGGCAGCGGAAATGACATCGTTTAGCTGCCAGCTTTGTGGCCAGCTCTGTGTGTGTGTGTGTGTGTGTGTGTGTGTGAGAGTCGCGTAATGAGCGTCAAGATATTTTGAAATTCCTGGCCGGGTGGGGCTGCCACTCACCTGCCCAAAAAAAAATTGGGGGAGAGAATTGGGCGAAAATTCCCACTCACTAAAAAGTCAAAATCTCAAACAATTGTTGGCGGCCGCAAACGATGCCAATAGCCCAGAGCAACAACAACAACATGCACAGAGGAAGAGCAAAAGTACCACAAGCAAAGAGAGCACAGAGTGTCATGTGAATATCAATGAAAAAGAGCAAATGCACAGCAAGGGAAATACGCTGACTGGAAGCGTGCGTATAAGAGTGCGCACAGGGAAATTGCATTTGGTACATTTTGTAGCTTGTGCTGAGCTGTTGGCAGTTGAATGCTAGTAAAAGGGAAATTTACTCTTAGCAGCAAAGGGCACAGCGCTGACTGGAAGCGTGCGTATAAGAGTGCGCCACACGCAGGGGAAATTTCGATGGTACATTTCGTGGCTCGTAATTCAAATCGTTTTCTTGCTGTCGACTTTCACTTGTTGCCACACGGGGCAGCAAAATGTGAGGCGCAAATATGCGAATGAGGCATGTCCCAGGGTTAACGTAATAAAGTCAGATATTTAAGCAAATATTTAATTAAAATGATTTTGATACGTTATAAAAGCTGGGCCGCGCCAAAGAGCCAATGGCCAATGGACGCTTAACGGAAGCGGAAAAATGAGATTTATGATCTGCACAATGGGCAATGGGGCGGGCAGGCAGGTGGCAAGTACAGGTGCTGATGGTGCCGGAATCATTTCGTAGGAAGGTGGAGAAACAGCAAATGTGTATAAATAAAAGTATCTGTGTGCATGCCATAAATGCCGTATGAATTATTAAAATAAAAGTAAAACGGAAACATAACAAAGGTTCAGCAACATTTATGACAGGAAAACGCGAAACGCAGCGCAGAACCCAACAAAAGAGATTGCCCTGGCACGCATCTAAAACGAGATATGCCACGCCGGAAATAAGCGCCGCATATAGTAGCCCAAAAAATACACACACACACACACACACACACACACACATTGGCACAGACTCTGTGTTGTTTACATACTGCCAGTTCAAGATTCCCTACAAGTAGGCTTCATTTACCAGGCAAACGAGAAAAAGAAGAATGAAAAAAACAGCACAGCACACATCAATGCAACAACTAGAGCTAAGCACGACTACTAGATACCCTATGACGAAATATGGCCAGTTTTATCAGGCGTATGATAACCATAAGTCAAGTTATATTTATATAATGACAAGGAAGTACAGCTAGCTATAGCTTAAATACTCTTGCGGGCATATGACTCACAGCTCGGCAGATAAATGAGGCAGCATTGCGAAACTCGTTTATGCTGAGTCTGATTAAGACGTTTCGAAAAACTGAATATTTTTGCGTGCAAAAGCTTATTTATCAACTGACTCTTCTTAAAGAGATATAATCTGATAAAGTATACCGATATTAATATTTCCTATATTATGTTAGAAGCATACTAAAATAAATAAATACCAAAATAGTTACTAGCACATATTTTCAAGCTGATTATTTTTATTTTTATTGACAGCTTATGGTATAGTGATCCGATCCGTGCAGTTATGTAATAAATACTTATATATATACCACCAACCGAAAGACGAATATACATTAGGTTTCAAGTAGATCGCTTGAAAACTGAAATATTAGTTTCCATAGCGAAAGACAGATGTGTTGGGTAGATGGACATGTTTATAAGGACTCGACTGTTGATGCTCAACAATGATCAAGAATTGTAAATATAATACATATATCCTGACAAATTAATGAAACAAATTTTGTACCATAAAAACGTTGTGATTTTAAGTTATTTTATTCGCATTGGAATTTGTAAAATTTACTAAATTTTAATTTCATTTTATATTTATTATAAAAAGCGTCAGGTTTCTAACAAGCAAACACTAAATTGCAAATTTAATAAAATTGTATAGAAGGGAAATATATTTTATTTTTCGCCTGAATATAAAAATTTTGACGAATTCAGTCAGTTATAAATTTATATATATATATATTATTGACAGTTAAAGCAAAACGTTTGCCTGTGAAAGCAAAAGCATTTAGCAAAATACGTTTTTTTTTGTTGAATCAATTGATAAAAAGCTCAATTCCAATACAAATATCTGCGTTTTAAACGCTATTAATTTGAGCCGAGTAAAGCCGGATAAAAGCTTTTTATAATTTTAATTGTTGTAAATACGCGCATAAACTTCAATTCAAAGAAGCTTAAAATATATAAATAATTAATAAATTAAAAAAATAAATAAATAAAATAAAATAAAACTTTATTAAAACAAAAGAGCAGTACTTATAGATGCTACAAATACAACTAGCTATAGTGCAGCCTAAGCTACCCGCCCATTTTCAGTACAGGGCATTTTTGGGGCATGGCTAACTACGTAGTACTAGTTGCTGTTGCTGTTGTTGTTGCTGCCGCCAAAGCTTAATACAAATATGCATGTTAACAGGCATCTACTTAAGCAGCTTGCCACGCCCCCCGCTACACCTGCCCTGCCCAGACCTGTCCCCTCCTACCCAGTTTCGGTGTTCTGCCAGTGTATTAATGTTCATTGAAGCGATCAAAATCAAGTCGACTACGGCTAATGCTACGCACATTTTTTGCCCGATCCTGTGAACTTTTGCTTGTTATTTGCAATTTGCTTCAGCAGCAACAATAACAACGACCCGCAATGGCAACAGCCTCTGATTTTTTTTTTCATACCCTGCACTCATTGACAGTAAGCTAAAAGGGTATATTAGTCATAGGTCGATCAAGCCGTCTGCCTGTACCTGCCTTCGATTTTGAAAGACAACAGGAACTAGAGACTTGCAATATAAACTTTGTATTCCGATATATCAGAAAATTTTAATTTTTTTCCGGATCTCCTCTCATTTGCTTAAGGCATAGCTCGATAATTATAAGAGCTTCTGCCATGCACTTTGGTATGCATACTCTTTTGTAAGCCTTAGAGATCGGACAAAAAGCGCCGAAGTTCAACTAGAACTCATTTCCCATTCATGGAAGTGGGTGAAAGGGAAGAACAAGTGGATAGCTTTCGGTGTTCGTCTGTTTTTGTCTATTCAAAGAAGGAAGCTGATATAATATAGGCGCTAAATTCAGGGTATTTCGTAGTCTGATACTACCGAACAGAACACTCTTACATGTTATACACTGTGCAGGCAGTTTTGTTTGTTTTGCTGCCTTCGGTTTTTTAAGGTCGTTTACAGCAAACATTTCGTCGGGGAATGTGCGTATGCCTAGTGTGGGATGGCGGAGGGCGAGGGTTATGAGCGGGGGGCTGGGGGTGTGTTGTTTCAAGCAAATGTATGTTATTATTATGGGGCATGTTGTTAACTACCCATAAGCAAACGCACAATTTTGTTGCTGCTGTTGTACGCCTTAGCATAAAACGGATTTGTGAAATCGCTTGGAAAAAATATAATCAAAATTGTTTTCAAATGACTTACAATTGCGATTGGGGCCAGGCCAGAGACCATTCCGAAAAGGCAGTCCGGCGTAGTACGTAATTATGCGGCTGGGGTGTTAACTGTCAGCCAATCGGCATCCGTTTGCAGGGCCCGTAATTTAAGCCACGCTATTGCCGTTGACAACTAGAAAAATTGCCTTTTTATGGTACGTAGCGTAGGAGCTGGAGGGGCCAACTCCAACTCAATGGAATGTGTCCACTCCGCCGGGCTCGACAATTGGAGCTTGTCTACTGCTGTTTTTTCGGTATGCGTTGAGTTAATAGCAAAGCGTGGAAATGCCAACCGACTTTTATTATTTGCCCCGACAACGGCTAGAGGGAAGCGGTAAGTGTGGGGTTGGTCTAGCAGAGTCCTTCGGCAATTACTTTGTGCGCCATTGTTCGCCCTCTGCCTTACCTAACACAAATTGTAGATAAAATATACCATATATTTACAGTTTCACAAGGGGTATTATTGCACAAAACAAATGATACGGCCTGCATAATAATAGTGTTCGATTCGCCTAGTAAAACGATTTTCAGAGAATATAATTAAGTTTTACTTAATTATGCTTGTTACAAGCACGAAGAGCCATGTCGAATTTAAATATCAGGGTTGGAAAACTATCAATGATGGATACAGTGTTAATTAACTCAAGCAATTTTGCTTATTAATTATGGAACTTCGCGAGAGTCATGACAGTCAGCAGTTGTTCTGTACAAATAACGTAGAATAATTTAAATAAAGTGTTGGAAAACTCTAAATAATCTTACGTTGCAATGGCTTTAATAGTCAATAGCTGTTATATGTCAAGTATTGTTGATTTATCTTAAAAACAATATATTATGGAATTTCTCGAGAATCCTGACAGTCAATAATATTGCATGATTTAAATGATAGTGTTGGAAAGCTATTAATAATTTAACCTTGCAATGGCCTTGATGTCATTTATTCAAATAATTTTGTATAAAATTGATTAATTATTTATTTCGACAAGGCTTTTTAAGTAAGAAAAAGTTTGTAGAATAATCCATATAAAAACTTAACTGAAAAATACAGCTATCAACACTAACTCAGCACTTAAGATAGTTTTGCAACACTGGCTTTTGATATCTCTATTTTTTTGCTGTTGATCCTGCACAACAAACTCACAGCTCTTATAAACACTAACTCAGCTTGTAAGATAGCTTTGCAGCATTGGCATATTCAAGTCTACTTACCTTTAAAGCCAGCTCTCAAATTCAAGCTTATCTTTTATTCACATTTGTTGTTTAGATAAAATACTTAACTATTTGATATCTCAGCATAGATTAGCCTGTACTTTTTCGCTTTTGATACCGCACAGCACACTCGCAGTTCTTATGTCAATCTGCCCAACTACAGTTCTATGGAATGCTACTTGGAATCAGCCCCACTCGCCCGTCAATTCTCGCCGCCTCTCTCCCTTCGCCTGCTTCAGCTGCTGCTTGTCATTTTCAATATTTTATGATGGCTGCCATTGAACTCTCCATAAAGCGCACATAAATTCACAAAACGTAGCCAATGTAGCTGCCCCCGAAACTGTAACAGAAACTGAAACTGAAACTAGAACTGGGACTGCTGGGACTACCAGTGCCTGGCATTTCTTCGAGATGTGCTGCGAACAATGCAGCAAAATGTTGTGGCGCAAATGCCATAGACAGTGGCCCCTGGCCCTGCCCCTCCAATAGTCGATCCCCTTGCGATGGCCAATGTCCCTGTACTTCGCATAAAGAGCAGCGCGAAGACAAAAAACTACGTACACATCATCATTGTCAATTGCCGGATGTGGGCCAGAACCTGGCCAGCTGGATTCGTATCGGCCACAGGCAATGGCTAAGGGGTAACTGCTAAAGGGGAAAGGGGTGGAGTGGGGAGGGGGGCTAACAACAGCGGCCAAGCGAGCAATCGCTGCTGCTGTATTCATTGTTGCCACGTAATTGCATTTCGCTATCGCAGATATTTATAGCCTCCACTCGGTCAAGAGCAGCTCCCAGCTTGGACCACACAGCAGAGGCTGGGGCAGCAGCCAGTAGCCAATCGCCAGCAGATTCTATGTTGGCAACAGATTTTTTTTCTGTTTGGGTTTTTTTTCACAGCAAATGCGGTCAACCGCAAAAGCGCAGCAGCAGTCGCAGCGGCAAAGTCTTTGCAAGAATAAGGGATAAGGGCGTTAGAGCGCATTTGTTGCTGTTGCAGCTCCTGCTCCTGCTGCTGCTGTTGGTGTTGGGCATTAGTCCTGGCCAGGCAAATAAAAATAAGCAATGCTTGGTCGCGCTTTGTCATTGCTGTTGTTCTTGTTATGCCCTGTAACTACGACAAATGCTCAAGACTAGGGCATACTGCAATTGAGCATACTTCTCAGCCAAACTGAAGAAGTTAGAATTTCGATAGAATCAGCACAGCTTCTTGTGGCATGGCTCGTATGGTTTCATATGTATCAAAGAGGACAAGAGCCTCTAGATAAATTAGGCATCTAAATCTGAAAGCATTATTCTTGCTCAAAATTCTCGTGAAATAGGTCGAACATTTTCCAACCACATAACTAGGTCAACACTTAAGTTATTTTCATAAGGTTTATCTTTTTGTTCATGGTTTGACCTATACATCAATTTGGCATCGAAATCTGACAACATTATGCTTGGTCGAAATTTATGTAAAAAAGGTAGACCAAAATATCCTATATAGACATAGGTCAAAATTTCCAATCCTTATAACTCGGTCAAAGTCCATCCGATTTCCTAGAGGTTTGGCTCTTTGTTTATTTATTTTATACGTTCTTTAGGTAAGCCCGGGGTATACCC